TATATATATATATATATATAGGGTGTCCTAAAATTAATGACTCAAAATAATATAGCGAGAATGTTCTTGAAAAAGTAAGTAATAAAATCATTTGTAAATGTTTATTTTAAGCAAAAATTTCTTAAATGTAAAAATTTAAGTATAACCAATTACAGACCATGCTTAAAACACATATGAATAATTGCACTAAAGTATGCATCACTAATATTATCACACGCATGATTGATGAACAGCTGATGGATGCTGGCTACCTAATGTAGTCCATAATTGGCTATTTAAACTTTTATTATCTCAAAAATTATTATTTGAAATAATAAATTTATAAATAACTTTTTATTTCATTTTCGAGAATCTGATTATAATATATTTTGAGTGATCATGAATTTTGGGACACCTTATATATGACATGTATACGTACATGGTAGAGATAAGAAAAACGTACAAGCAACTCATTAATTTTTACTTATCCTTACAATGTATTCGTTATGTGGGGAGATATATATACGCATGCATACATGGACACACACATACAAACACAGTTGTTTCATTTTACGCGAGATGAAACAACCTTAAGTCGTAAAAAGGAAAGAAAACATTCGAGATTTACTTGGGAGCAACTTGCGCTTGAAAATGTTTTGTGAATCCGCGCACTGTACTATTCTGCATGCGCCATCATTCTTCGCCGCTTGTTTCCACTTCTATTAACTCCCTGATAATCAAGCATTTCGCGAGCGAGCGCTTTCCTCGTTGAAAGTGCAGTGAGACAAGGAGTCGAGTGAGGAAGTCGCAGAAAAAAGAATTATTTGTCATAACATCAATGAAACACCCTCATCTCCCTCCCCTCCCCCTCTCGATTACATGATAGCTTTTCGATGAAAATTAAATGAGGATAGCTGGGCAAAAATTCACATTCCACATTAATTAAATAAAGGATGATATCGCGATACGTTCAATGATGTAGATAGAGTCTCGTTCATCTGAAAAAGAAAATTATTTGGCAGAAATCCACCGATTATTGAGATTGCACGAATGAATATATAACAATATTTAAAGTACATTTTAAGTCCCTTTTATGTGTAGTAATATAATAACAATTTTTGCACAATACAGACTGCATTAGTGATGTATGAATGTATGTGTGTATGACTACGACTGGAAATCGCTCGCTTTTGCTCGAACACGACAGCGTTTACTTGCGAATTAACAGTAGTATCACTTTCCAGTCAGAACAACATCAGAATAACGCAATCATTTGAATTCCGACTTTGCATACGCTATTGTTCACATCGAGATCGACGATGAATCAGTAATTGGCGATTAGTACGTGTGAAAGGAAGTCGGCATATATCTGGAACACGGCGAGGTCGTAGGTGTCTCTACAATTTAGCAAATGTAAGATTACTTGAGAGACCATAATATAATTAATAAAATTGTTATAATTAATAAAAAATTACGTTATTGTCAGTGTAAAATTAAGCGAATAAGAAAATTGGGATTGGCATATTAAATAGAGATTATAATAATAGTATGATAAGCAAATTGGAAATCGAGAATCTGAAAGCGAACGAATTCATTATTGAGGTCCAAGTAGGATCTCGCGAATAAATCGTGGACGAAGTTGCGGAGCTATGGACCTCGTTTCTTGCGTAAAATCTTCCGATTTCGAATGTATAGAACGAAAAGGGGAAGGGGAATGTTATTCTGAAGGTCGCGATTCCGTTTGTCGCGTGTACACGAAACATTTACGTGGCGTGACGGTGTCAACGCGACGGAGATGACACGTATTGGGATATTTTTTTTAGAAAAAAGTAAGTCTCCAACAGTTAGGAGTGGGAGGAGGGGGCCAAGGGGTCGGAGCAATACAAGCGGTATTGGTCGAGGAGACGGAAAAAGGAAGCGGCGGTACCGGTGGACAATGGTGGAAGCAGCAGCATCCATCCTATCATCACCATTATCACCAACATCATCATCATCAACAACATTATCATCATCAGGGCGGTTATTACACGCAATCGCATACTCACAACCCTGTCACTACCATGAAGCAATCCTACATGCAGGTTAGTTAATCTAGAGATCTCTGTCCATCTCTGTCCGAGCATGTCAATGCTACAGCTTTACCATACGCCGCTCCTCCCAGCGCCTCTTTTATGTCCTGCTATGAAAAACGTATGTCTAACGTTGCGTCCCATCTCTCTCTATCTTCTCCTAATTCTCTTTTCCTTCTTCCTCGTATCTTCATTCATTCCCGCCAATGTATGCGTATAACAGAGACGGATTGTTCGACTTCTCTCCGTGCTCTAGTACATTTCTACCAATGCAGATTAACTTTAATCTCGGTTTAATTTACTTTTTATTTTTCTTTTTAGTTCTAAGCATTAGAAAAAAGTAAAGAGTAAATTAAATCGAGATTAAAGTTAATTTATTTTTTATCTTTTTCTAGTTCTAAGCACTAAAAGGTAAACAGTTAATTAACCTGAAATAGTTAATCTACATTGATAGAAATGGACGTTCGTCAGATATGCGAATGATAACGCGAGTGCGACTGGGTTCATGTCGTGCTCAGATCATATTTAATCACCTATCTTTCATTACAGCTAACATGGGTGTTTCACGATGACGAGGCGCAGATTAACAAGAAACTGCCAAAAGAATTACTACTCAGGTATGGCGTATATTTGATTGCAATGTATTCGCTCCGCATCTGCTGGCGTTCTCGTCGCGATAAGAGACGGAAACTTATCGGTTTTGGCAGTTGAGCGAAATATGGGAATTTGAGACACTCTTTTGTACTCTTCAATTATATTAGAATAGATTTTAATCTCTAAACGTCTTATTTTAATTTACATTAGATTTGCCGTATTTGTATTTGAAATAGACACACGTCTATTTTTCTACCAATGTAAATTAACTTTAACTTATTCTTAAAACTAGAAAAAGATGAAAAGTAAATTGAACCAAGATTAAAGTTAATCTACATTGGAAATGGGTATTGGAACTCGAAAAAATAAATCAAGATTAAAGTCAATCTACATGAATGAAAATGAGTATTAGAACTAAAAAAAGATGAGTAAGTCAAATCAAAATTATAGTTAATCTTATACATTCATAGAAATGGGCAACAACCCTATATTTGCCCTTTAAAATCTTTTTGTATGCAGACATATGCTAAGATTTGTAAAATTTGTACACAAAACGTAAGCGTTATGTTATATCATGTCTCGCGAAAAACTTAAGTCCATATTGTCCTCCTTGCGTTCGCAAAGTGTTAGGTAATCGCGATAACATGCTAGTCGTTTTAACAAATCTCTGTAATTGACAGAATTTTTTCGTACCTCGATGTCGTATCGTTATGCCGTTGTGCCCAAGTAAGCAAGGCCTGGAATGTATTGGCACTCGATGGGTCCAATTGGCAGAGGATCGATCTCTTCGATTTTCAACGAGATGTGGAGGTAAATAAAAAAAAAAAGAAATCGTCTCTTCACGAACCTAAAGAAAAAAAAAACCAAAAAAAGATGGACTCACAATTAACATGGATGGGGGGACTTTTGCTTAGGGACCAGTAATAGAAAATATCTCGAGGCGTTGTGGCGGATTTCTCAGGCAGCTCTCGCTCAAGGGATGCCAAAGCATCGGTAACAACTCAATGCGCACCCTAGCCCAGTCATGTCCTAATATCGAGGAGCTTAATTTGAGTCAGTGCAAGAGGATCTCGGACGCGACATGCGCGGCCCTCAGCAGTCATTGCCCCAAACTGCAGCGGCTGAATCTGGACTCCTGCCCCGAGATAACGGACATGTCCCTGAAGGATCTCGCGGCTGGCTGCCCCCTGCTCACTCACATAAATCTCTCGTGGTGTGAGCTACTCACTGACAATGGGGTCGACGCGCTCGCAAAGGGCTGCCCAGAGCTCCGCAGCTTCCTAAGCAAAGGATGCCGTCAGCTAACGGATAAGGCCGTGATGTGTTTAGCGCGCTACTGTCCTAATCTCGAAGCGATCAATCTACACGAATGCAGGGTACTTATCTCATTGACTTCGCAAATTCGCATGTTACGAACAATTGCGTCTCGCGCCTCAGACAGTCGTCGTACGGATTTGTCGTTAATGAGATATCATTGTTCCTCGTAAAGATAAGATCCGCTCGTATCACTGAAAGAAATTACACAATAATATTTACAATTTGATTCAATAACATAACGTTGACGATTTTAGTTTCTCGATAAAAAGCGAGATGAAGAAAGAAAAAGAAAATATTAAATATTAATAAAAATTAAATATAAAGAAAATTGTCTATATATTTCGTTAGCAAATAGATCTCATGCGACAGAAAAAAAAGAAATTATAATATTTATCCAAAATATATTATTTTGATTCATAAATATATATCTCGGATAAGCTATTTCTGTGACTTAAAATTAGAAATACCAACATTTCTTTATTCCCTAAAAAGATCAAGCGAATAAATTAGTATGAAAATAAAGAAAGAGTGATGTGAAAAAATATTTCATCAATATGAAGGATATAATTAAATAAATTAAAAAGAATCTTATCTCACAAAAAATATATTTAATATTAATCTAAAGAATAAAAATAATCAATAATGACCGTTCGGTTTCTAATATTAAAAATTTTCTAAGCATTGCGTTAGTAAGTAAAAATCACTTTGGAATTCTTGCAGAATATAACGGACGATGGAGTCAGAGAACTTAGCGAACGGTGTCCACGGCTGCATTACGTTTGCCTGTCGAATTGCCCCAATTTAACGGACGCGACGTTGATTAGCCTGGCACAACACTGTCCACTTCTCAATGTACTCGAATGCGTCGCGTGCACCCATTTCACGGATACGGGTTTTCAGGCCCTCGCGAGAGTGAGTTGATCGGCGAACCGTTTGAATCTGTAAACAACCGAGCGCGTAATTCTATTCGACTTTCGACTTTCAGAATTGCAAACTGCTCGAAAAGATGGATCTGGAAGAGTGCCTTTTAATCACTGACGCCACCCTCACTCATCTGGCGATGGGTTGTCCGAGATTGGAGAAACTAGTGAGTAGCGATTTAATGTGAAACATTCGCGTTAGGCAATGTTTATGACATTCAGTGTCGGTGCATTTTCTCGATTCGCAAAAACGCTCGCCTATATCGAGAGTTTTGCCATTTCCGAATGCAGAGCCTGTCACATTGTGAGTTGATCACCGACGAAGGCCTCAGACAAATCGCGCTGTCGCCATGTGCGGCGGAACACCTAGCCGTCTTAGAGCTGGACAACTGCCCGAACATCTCGGACAACGGTCTGAACCATCTGATGCAGGCCTGTCACAATCTCGAGCGTATCGAACTTTACGACTGCCTACACATTACCAGAGAGGGCATACGTAAACTCAGAGTATTGTCCTGTTTTACCCTATTCTTCGACGTTCATGCGTTATGCGGAAAAAGGGATTCGGTATTTTTGTATTTCCCGCGGAGCGTTATATTTAGCGCACAACCAAGCGCGTATCACGCAACCGTATAACAAATCGCGCATTCCACAAAAACTAACGATCCCGCGTAATTACGATATCCGACGGCTATAATTAATACTGCTTTTTCCGCTTAACAATGAATCGCATATATAAAGAACTTATGACTGCGGTTTACAGTACATTATCATAGATCATTGTAATATACTTTCAAGAGACTTGCTTTTTTTCCCGTTTGTTTCAACGAACGAAACAAAGTAGTAATCGTACACGATTAAAGATAGAACTTGTCATTTCTGTCGTTCTTAATTTACGATTATTGAATATTAAATTTGTTATTTGTATTATTTTAGGCCCATCTACCGAACTTAAAAGTGCACGCGTATTTTGCACCGCCGACTCCGCCACCCAGCGCAGGAGCCTCGCGACAACGATACTGTCGGTGCTGCGTCATTCTGTGATTTTGCCTTCAACTCCTAACTCCGAAGTAAAAAATCGTCCGATATATATACCCACGGGATTAGTGGACCTTTATCGGTGGTCGCTGCTTACGGCGATTATGGGACCTCTCTCTCTTTCTCTCTCTCTCGTGGTTACCGGAGGAAGCGCTCCGGTTGCCCATCACACATTGATAAGTGAGAACGGGAGGACTCGTTGTCAATTGCAAATCGTTAAATCGATTCAAGCTCCACATGCAACGAGTAAAGTACGTCACCATCATCAACACAGATGCTACTACTGCAATTACCACTATGACCGCTGCTGCTGCTCTGCTGCTGCTATTACTATTACTACTATTACTACTACTACTACTACTACTACTACTACCGCTGTTACTACAACACTTATTATTATTATTATTATTTCTATTTGTACTCTGTTATCTCGATAGTAAGTGCATCGCCACTATCTCGGTATATATTGCGTGCGGAAAGTTAGTCTGCAAAGGAAAGAAATTCTCAGGTTTCCTTTAGCGATATTTTCTATGATCTTCATTTAGCGTTCGTTCACAGAGAGAAATAAATGCGCCCGCGTGTTTTCTGAGCCACTCGCAATACATACGAAGTGACGTATTCGAGAGCGAGCGAGCTTATTTTGATTAGCGTTCGGACGCGTATTTTCCTAGCGCTACGCGAGCAAGTTTATCGATTTACGTTGCTCGATAAACACGAGATACTTATTTTAAGATACGCGTAAATGTCTTATAAATATCTTAATGAGCACGCGCGCGCGTACTACCGATGAAACGTGGAAGAGAACGGTAGTTTTAGGGGCAACGAAGTCAAGCGTGCAATTGTATCCAGAAGTCGAATTTCACACACAATCTCGACGTGTAATCGTAGCAGTTTCTCAACGAACACTGCCTATAATGCTATTGATAAACGAGAAAAAAAAGATGCAAAAAAAAAGAAAAAAACAAAATACGGTATAGCGACCGCGAATCGAATCTCGTCGTAATATTTAGGATATTAATTATCGTTTATCGTATAACGTAGACGTATATGCACCGACAAAATACGGCTCGGTGAAAGTGTTTCTTCTCGGTGTCTGTTTAAAAAGTATTAACGAATCGCGCGTATCGTGATTACCGAGCGACACCTATGAATTTCTTTCCTTTCGTTAAAACAAGAAAACGAAAAAAAAAAGGAAGAAAAAATAGGAAGAGAGAGAGAAAAATGAAGACGAACGCGTGTCGCGGAATTTGTCGCATCAAGGGCGCACAACTTTCAACTTTCAACGACGAAAATTTCGACGTATATTTGTGATCATGGACACTCGAGATAGAGTGAGAATGAGAGGAGAACGCTCGAGTATCGTCTTTGAAGACTCCACCGCCGCTAACGCGGCCTATAGCGGTGGCGCGTGAGAGATGCATTTTACATCGATTCGCGGGCAGACGGTATTTATGCCCGTGTATCGTATTCGAGTACCCGTGTAAAACGTAAACATCACTTCTCCTCGACAGCCCGGACATCTATTCTATTATTTCTATTCTCCGTTTTATTATCTTGTTTTCTTTTTGTTTTTTTTTCTTTTTGTAACTTGTCATGGACTAGGAGAGCACAGACTGAAAAACGAATCAAAGCGTTAATGTGTTAAACCGATTAACTTCGTGCTGGCGGCGAACGGCGCTGGCATTTTTACTTTTTAAGCCTAGGTTTAAAAAAAAAATAACGGAATAGCGGCAGTATCATGAAGCCACGGACGTATTGTGAAGAGCGGTGGATCTTCGTGCGATCTGATCATCGCCAATTGATTCTAGATACGCCGTGACTATAGTGACGATGTGCCCGATGGAACAAACAAAACAAACAGAAAAGACATTTAATCTCCGACCGAGTGCTTGTAAAGGCCCCGATTGTAACATCGGTGCTATCACATCTCGGATCATGTATTGTTCGATGAAACAACCGATTTGTTGTCGGATCTTCGCGTTGAGCGCCGGCAAAGAGAGAACGAGCAATTTCATAAGAAGACCTGAAATGTCGAACGTGACTTTCCCCGAGGCCGGGAAATGGATCACGGAAAGACGGAACAACCCCTATACACGATGGATTACGATTTTCCATTTGATTGTACACGAAGAAATTCCACAGCGTAGTATCTCCGAGAGTTCTCACGATGGAACTTGACGACGGATTTGGATTTCGAATCGACATAATTTATTTTGAATATAAAAGACACTACTACACATACATATGCGCGCGCGCGCACACACGTACATTGGCTATATTTTTAGAAGCATACCCTTGCCAGATTTTTACTAAAGAAGCCGTGGACGCATTTTGAACGCGTTAATGGCTGGTCGAAGACCAACGCGCGAAATTTTTAAAAGCGGTCCAGTTTCGAAGTGCAATATCCGTCAGACGCGAAACGCGCCTCGTTTTTTTTCCTTCCTCTGTCTTTGATTCGTGAATCGTAAACCCAGTTAATATCGCGATACACGGCATATCGTCGCGTTAAGCAAAGGGAGGGGAGGGGGGAAGAAAGAAACACGAAGTATCGATTGTTAATCTTTTGGTAGCGTGTAAGAGACGTACCGCGTATATATGAAGTATATAGCGTGTAACAGAAATAACGGATGCGGCAACCTAGTATATAATACAACAGTAAATAAATATATAGATAAGATATGTTTTATACGCTGCATGTCATCCCTAGTGGAATAACGTGATCATTGTAAACGTGTCGTTCGAAGTCAGGTTAATAATTATAAGCGATGTACGATTATACGCGCGCATGACATAACCGCCAATGATGCAGGACACATACACGTACACATATAACACGCGCGCTATCCGCAAGGCTTTTCGATCTCTCGCGAATCTCGATAGATGAGCGTTTGCACTTTCCTTCCGATTTCTCCGAACGGAACCCAGATAGCAAGCTACATCATTTTAACGTCAAAATGATGCCTTTAATATCACTTTGACGTCAAAATGATGACAAATAATACCAGCCCAAGTAGAACATAATAGATGTCATAAAGGATGTCATGGCTTTATTTCCTGTACAGCATAGATTATTCTAGTAATTGCAACGTTTCAGTAATATTGCATACGTTGCAGCAATGTTGTTGCAAGCTTCTGTGCTGCATAGATTGTGAAAGCAAAACAAATCATGATACATCAAAATAAAGTTAAAATGTATTGTTAATGATGGAAAAGTAACTCTTAACCATTATTTTGGAGTCATTTTGATTTGTGTTCTGCTTGAATAAATCCAAGCACAGCAACAAGTCACGATTAACTAACATTAAAATGATGTTAAGATTAATTGTGACTGATTGAAAAGTGACTTTTAATAATCATTTTGGAGCCACTGTGATAATGACTTGTCATAATGACTTTTTATTCTGCTTGAGTTATAAGTCAGTGATGAGACAAATGACATGATGATGTCCTTAACTTTTGCATTCTACTCCTCGCTTGCTATTTAGGAATTGTCCTTTACGCTACGATCACCAATTCAACCGCGTGAATTCTCTAAAAAGAGAGGACAAAACTCTTTCGCATCAAATGAATCAAATAGACCTATTCTTTTTAATTAAACTACTCGCACTGTTCATCCCTTCTTTTTTTTCAATATGGAAAGAAAAAGAAGAAAGATGAACTATATAAGAAAAACACAGTTTAATTGAAAAGGATATATCTTTTGCCCATTTTATAGATTAATTTATTGTAACTTAAATCTTGGTTCAACTTCCTGATTTTTTTTCTAATTTTTAGAACTAGAAAAAGATGAAGAGTAAGTTGAAGCAATTTTAAAATTAATCTTCATTGGTAGAAATGTGCATTAGTGTCTAGGAAATGAGATTTATGTTCCCTAGGTAGCAAGGTGACATTATTTGATCAAAATGATGACAAACTAATGACTTTTCAACAAGAGACACAGGATGCATTCCTTAACATCCGCAACACTCGCGAGCATCATCTCTCCTCATTGTAATTGAATGTCAAACAAGGATGAAATGATGTATGCGAGCGTTGCGGACGTTAAATGGAACGCACCTATAGTATAACACAGTAATTATTTCATCTTTGTTTAACATCGGCAAACAATTCAAATGATTCACTGTGTCATTTATGTCTCTTGCTGGAAAACATCCAACTTCAACTTACTATCTGAATCGAAACGAGAGAGAAGCGAGAGAGTTTTGTCAATGATTCTCACGGTTGATCATCGTCCGATGCACGAGCTAAACTCAAAATACAAAGTCAATCGCAGTGCCTGAAATGTTACGAAGCTAATCCATGTAGTCGTGTCGAACGCGAGCTTTTCCGCGTGCGACAGATTGTAATGCTAACGTAGAACGATGTTTGGCTGAACCAAAATGCAGCGCGGCATCCGGGCAGGTCGTAATGCGTGTCAACAACAACCGGCGGAGAAGATTTGCGAAGACGTTATATTAGCCGCTGTAAATCGCCATCAATCGGGATATCATTGTTGGTTAATTGCGTTGCGTCAACCCGCGACTTCGACCAGCCTGCGAGAGACGAAAGAGCCTTGTTGGCAATCCCTTTGACTTGGACGTGCGGGATTCGCTCGGACGATCTTCAGACTTGCGATAATCTGTCTGAATTTTCGCGAACGAGAGAATGAAGTACCGTCACACTTTCGATGATCGCCACTTACATTTTAATCAATTGTAATAATCCGCAGTTGTCACCGTTGAATCGTGTTAATTAAGAAGATAAGAGATCGAAGTGTTGATGCCGCTGAGTGATCGTGCAAGTGTTTGGCTGTGCAAGAGAGAAAGCTGACTAGGATCTGAGTAGGAAGGCTGTGAATAGGATGAGAAGAAAGAAGGAAGGAAGAAAGGAGTGAGTGAGAGAGAATGCGAGCGAGAGAAAGAATGAAAGGGCGAGAGGGTGTATGTGTGAGAAAGGAAAAAGAGCATGAGAGAGATAAAGATATTAATCGAAGTCAGCGAAAGTATCTCGGTATCCGCTGCGTGTATCGACGGATTGACACGATCAGTCTCGTAATAATCGCGACATACTGAGAATGATTCGGAACGGATCGGGTCGGCCCGTTATTAGCTATTTATTCCCGCCTAGCAAACAAATTGATGTTATTTATCATCATTTTGATATCAAAATGACGACAAATAACGTCAGTTTACTTGCTGAACACACAGCACTTTATCTGAGGGATGTTCTGGGAACGTCCTCAGCGTATTCTAAGAAATATCCTTAGAACGTTCCGAAAATATCCTTAGGATATGGATTGCCTTCTGGACGTCTTTAGGACATCCACTGGAGGTCTGTGCTGTATGAATTTTAAGAAATAAACGAAAACTCCAAAAAATATTTCTCGCGTGCAACACAACAGCATTCATGGTCTACACGTGTCGGCCTACACGTGCCTCCCGACAACCTCGATGGGCTATCGAGAGGATGTCGTCGAGAAAGAAGAAAAAGAAAAGAAAAATGAAAAAAAAAAGAAATCAGATGAAACAGAATCGCGTACGAATACTGTAGCTAATTATATTGACACTTCGCTGCTTCGAGAAGCTGCAGTCTACCATGTATATATTTTCATTAATGTATGTATAATAAAAATATATTCGAGACAAAATTTCTGCGATTGTTATTCCACGCGCGTTTCGCATTCCTGTTGCGAACGACGAAGAGAATTTATTCATAAGAATTACCAGAGAGGACAACTCGCGAAATCTCTGAGAAACAACGGCGCTTGCCATTGTCGTCGGCCAAGGTCTAAGACACAACGAGCTGTGACGTAATCGAGGAACTGTTTACTGCAGCCTTGAATGGAGAACGGAGTCTATACTTCTTTCGAAAATTACAAGGGAACGACGGAAATGAATTTCACTCTGAATTTAATAGCTAGGATTATACTTTATTGACAAAGGATTCAACAAGAATGAAGATTACGCCATTCGACTGAATTTCATTACCTTGAAATCTTGTTCTTGATGCGAGAAAGCTTAAGAAATATAATAAATAACGTAAAATCTCTTTCATAATCAATTTTTTCTTATTACAAGCGAAAAAATACAGCAAATCGTAACGAAGAATAACAAAACGCTTATCTTACAATCGAAGTAATTACAAAGAAATTATTACAAATGTGTCAAGTTCAGAACAAGAACAAAATAAAATAATCACAATATATGTTATAATTTTTAAACTCGTTAAATACAAATTTCTTTATTAATTGTGAACGTGTGATAATCCGTTCAACAAATATAACAATTCTGTATCTATAATATGCTCCAAATTTTAAATGAATCTTTAAAAAGTGAAATTTTACTCTTAAAAATTGAAATTTGAACCATTCTTTTTTAAGACTGATTCAGTCTTTCACTCTTTAAAATGTGATTACACTCCAAAAAATATAGAGAGTGTGTGTAAATAAACTTACGAATAAAGTAATTTAAAAAGTATTAGAAACATGCTGTTAGAAAACAAATGGAAGCATATTATAATATACAGAGTGTATCTGAAATAATGTCCAACGTAATCAGTGCTATTCTTATAATAAAAAACTGAATCGAAAAAGTCTGTTACATTTTTGCAATATTTTTTTTTTTTAGACCCAAATAAGCAAAATCGATGTATAAGACAATTTTAAGATATCTTTAAGATTAAAAAATAATAAGACTCTAAGTATAAAACAAATGAGTAGAATTAAATGAGGGCAAAGAGCTAATAATATAAATAATAAAGAACATAAAATAATAAACAAAATAATAGCTATAATAATTACATACGTTTCGACTCCGATCGGGTCATTATTAATGTTACAAAATATAAAAATAAAAACCTTGAGAACAATCAAATAAATTACAATAGTTCGTTTCACTGCTTAAAAAATTTAGTGTTCATCATATTGTTAATCCAATCAAATTATTGTTCTCAAATGAGAAATTGTTATTCTCTTGTGTTATACAAATAAAGTGAAGACAACTTATCTCCGTCAGACAACACAATTTGACAAATTAAATTTTTTAAGCAGTTAACAAGAAACAAACTATTGTAATTTATTTGATTGTTCTTAAGGTTTTTACTTTTATATTTTATAACATTGATAATGACCCGATCGGAAGAGTCGAAACATTATTATAGCTATTATTTTGTTTATTATTTTATGTTCTTTGTTATTTATGTCGTTGGCTCTTTGTTGTTGGCCCTCATTTAATTCTACATATTTTCTTTAAGAGTTTTTTAAGAAACATCTTCATCATCATCTTCAAAATATTTCACAAAGAACACTGAAAGATATCTTAAAATTATCTTATACATCCATTTTATCCATTTGTTCAGTAATCTTGTTCAGAAATTAATATTTCATTAATTATTGCGAAAATTGCAAAATAATAGAGTACTTGTCGACTCAATTTATTTTTATTAAGAATAGCACTATATGATTATAGTTGATTAGTGGGCGTTTTATCAGATACAACCTGTATACATAATATTTTTTGTAAAATAAGGAATAACAAATATACATAAATAAAGTAAATAAGTACATATAAATATAAATAAATAAAGTAAATAAACATAAAGTAAATATACATACGTAAGTAAAATAAATAAATATTTCATTTTGCGCAAATAAACGCGCACTTCAAACGACATATTTTACCGATAGCGACGATTACGACAACGAGCATGGCTCTAGGTGGCACCGCTACCTAACCTACGTTCATTGACCAGCTCACAGTCACTCTCAATCTGTTTCGTCCACGTCGTCTGTGGCGTTCTCGGTTGGCGATCCGCGATATCAGAATTTGGAAAGTGGGTGTTGCTTCCGTCAGCCGTCAGCCGTCCATCAGCTTGTAATCAAGTGCCGAGAATATCGCGCTATATCTAACGGAAGGGCGGAATCGCAAATAGGAAATCTCGGCGAGCCACCCTTCGTGGGAGTCATGTGTAAGTGAAACTCCAGCCTGCTCCAGCCCGCGTTCCTCGACGCCGGTTTCCCGAGAAGTGCGGCAGCGACTTGGACGCGAAGGGTTAGGCGGGGGTCCACGTACGATCGATAATACTAACCGTTCGCAAGATATACTGAATGGATGGACGGTTCCAAGTGTCATTTGACAAATGGGGCGTTTTGTCTATCGTTACAGTGTCCCAATGAATTTTTTCGTGATGCGTACGCGTTTCACGAGCCGCACATTATTATTACGAATTCTTTCTATGGTTGTCTAATTCAGGACCACTCGCTGAGCGTCGAAGACCTTTCTTATCAATAAAAGAATGTCAGATTACTGTTTATCTGATTTATTTTACTTCATATGTGATTGCAGTGCAGAGCTATTTTTAGAACGTATGTTTAGGGATGCTTTATTGATTTTACCAAGTTCCCAGTAGAAGTTTGGAATCACTTTAATAATTCTGTGTTACAGATTTGTAGATTTATTTCTTGAAAATTGAGTTGAAACTTAGAAACCCAATAAGCAAACTGTTTGAAGAAATTCCAGCAGATTGGCAGCAAATTAAATCTGAAAAATGCAGTAGAATCTGTATCTCATTAAGATCTTGTTCAACATGACCATGATTCTTATATCATGAATACAATTTGATAGC